CGAACCCATGGGCTCAGGCAATCCACTCACCTCAGCCTCCCAAAGGCGTGGAATTACAGGCTGAGCCACCGAGCTCGGCAAGAAACACTTTTTGTAATCGTTAGTGTTTACATCCCTTGATACTAGCTATCTATAAAGAGAATACAGAGATACAAATTAATCACAAATAATGGTATTTCTGTGTCAGGGAATTGGCTACATGTAGCACAAATAATTCTCCATTTTCTGCAAATAGGTTTTTCAGGACAGTTATGTAATTTGGGGCTTGCTTTCTCTTATTCTCTAGCCAGTTTGTCTCAAGGAATGCAAATTGATTTTTAATATTAAATGAGACATAATTTAGAAAATAATCATAAGCAATGATTACAGATTTTTGGACTATTTGAGTTTGTCTGTAACATCTATTAATGGGCAGTATACTGAGTTAATGTAGGCACCTAAAAGCCTGAAATGTGCCTACCACAGACACAGCGTTTTTGTCTATTTACTGGTTAATAATTTATATCCTAATGGTTATAAAATCTCGGTACCTAAATGCTAGACCTGTTCACAATTTTGTCTGGTTTTGTGTGTTTTTAAAGACCCAAACCTTTTCAGTCTGGCATTTCTTCACTTAGTCCTCTTATGTCACCCTCTGGCTTTTATAGGGAATGTAATTATTTTAATAGTAGTTCTCAGAGATGCTACTACAAACTCTGGATGAGGGATACGTGCAATCTGTTGGTCACATCCTATGTTGGGTCTCATTTTTGTAACCCCCAAAATGGGAGGGATAAATTAAAAGACCTCTAATGTACCTTTGAGCTTTAAAGTTCTGTTTTTCCTGCCTTTTCATATATTTGTGTTAGTGTTCACTTTATATATATTTAGAGTTTTTATACTAGTGTGAATATTCTGTTTTGGTTTGGTGAGGCATTTCAAAGGTGTATACTTGAATATTTTTCTAAATACAGCTGCCAGAGAAATGCAGATGGTAAAAATAATCCAGAAAACCAAACATTAAAACATCATGTCCATTTGGCATAAAGCAAAATGTTCCACACATTTTAGAGTGATTTTTATATTCAGAGACCCTCCATATTTGTTAGCTTACAATTACAATAGCTTTGTGAGGTAATCAGGAAAAGTATTTTTGCCATTTTCCAGATGAGAAAGGAGGACCAGAAATCTCTTTGTAAAGCTTTAATGCCATACAAGCAGGCAGTGGTAATTTATTGCTCTTTAGAGCACCTTTTCTCTGGGAAGAACGGTCTGAATTAATAAAGCATCTGAGTAGTTGAACACAGATGTATAGCTTTCAAGTCTTAGAGTGACATAGTCTTAACTAAACATTTCTTAGTTTATTTGAACCAGTTCATTGTGCTAACTAGATGGATTCATCTGAAGTATTTATACTTAGGATATTGTTTTTTATAAGTACTTCTAAGTTATTGAGGGTGCTTAAAAATGTTGAAGAAACTTTAGGACATGATCCTTCCTGTAATTTTATTTATGTGACTCTTACAGCACAATTCCTTTCTTTTTCTTTTTAAAGAAAACAAGTCCCAGTCCCTAGCTAAATTGTTATCATTTTGGACAATTATCTGAATTAGACTGATCTAAATTTCATATGCAGATTGATAGTTTTTCATTTTGTATGCATATTAGATGATATAACACTATTTTCATAGAGTATATTTCTATTTACAAACTACCTAATTATTGACTTGATTCTCCAAAACCTTATAAAAGTTTTAAATGTAACTTATGTTTGGTAAGCTTTAAAATTATCTAAACCTTAAACAAGTTGCTGGCATCCTTCTTGGCCTTTCCCACATATGATTATGATGCATTTGATGCCCCTGAACAGTAGTATGAAGAATAGGACTCAGTCTAGACTGGATTGAGTTTTAATTAAACTTCTTCAGCCATAACCTGATAAGAATCAGGCTGAGTCTAGGAGAGTTATCAGGATGCAGGCCTGTATTAATTTTGCGAGCCGGTGTTAATGTTTACTGCCAGCCTTGCATAGCAATGCCAGTTTGCAGCTGTGACCATGTATGTGACTTTTGGTAACAGTGGTTTATATCTAAAGCAGTTTAGATTTTATGGAAGTAGCTCATGATTATTTGGACAAGCAGGGTAGGTAAGTTTCAATTATGTTTAAAGTGCAATTAAGGAAAATCTTAGCGTAGAGCACTCTTTCCGAGAAAGAGTTAAGTATTTGTAGACTATCCTAGCATGAAAATTTTTTTGGAAGAATATACCTAGAATTTTGAAAGGTTCCTATGGTGTGACTTTTTAAATTTGAGGTTTGGTACTTGGTGTTGATTTAAGATTTCAAGGAAGAGGAGAAACATTCTAGCCAAGGAGAATTGCATGGTTAATCTTTTTCATGCATTTTAAAAAAAAAACATGCATTTTTCACAGTGAAAAGTCACTTTTATGTAAGTTTTGTTACCCCAGATGGCCATTTTTTCTAGATAGATAACATTTCCCTAAAATGGAATAGAGAAACAAATCTCCTGATCTAATAAAAACAAAAGACACTAAATTGTGCCTCTCTCCTAAGTTATAAAAACAGTAATACTATAAACTTGTTTGAACTGTTTTTGTTGTTGTTGTTGCTGTTGTTTTTGAGTCGGAATCTCACTCCATCACTCAGACTGGAGTGTAGTGGCACGCTCACAGCCACTCTAGTGTTGACCTGCTGGGCACTGGTGATCCTTCCGCCTCAGCCTTCCAAGTAGCCAGAACTACAGGCGTGTGCTACCCACACCTGGCTAATTTTTTGATTTATTCTAGAGATGAGGTCTCGCCAAGTTGCCCAGGCTGGTCTCGAACCCACGGACTCAGGTGGTCCCTCGGCCTCCCAAAGTGCTGGGTTTACAGGCTGAGCAACCCAGCGCAGCCTATTTTCTTTTTTGCTCCCCGCCCCCGTTTTTCCTTAGATTTGCCCCCCACAAATGATTGCATTTGCTTTTACTCGTTTGTTTTCAAGTTCCTTCAGCCAAACCTCACACTATCAGAAGTTTTTCACTGAATGTATTTTTCTCTTTCTTTCATGTCGTTTCACTTTTTAAGTCACCTCAGTAAGCATTTGGCTGTCTTCTCATGCTTTTAAAATGAATGCAATGAATGGCAATTTTTACATTTTATCCCTTTACAAAGTTTGTAAAGGAAAAAATTACTGCAGAACTAAGAACAAAATCTAACTTGGAATTCGATTCCTTTGGCCATTCTAGCTGCAGCAAAGCACATAACCTCATTTGGTTTTCTCATTTGCAAAGTGTGGATAATAACCTACCTCACAGATGTGTGTGAGAAACTGTTTGAAGGCCCTTGTTTAAATACAGGGTTTATATCCCCACATTTAATGTAAATTCCTTCCTTTTTAAAAATAAATCCTCTTTGATACGAATAGGATGAGTATCTTGATTTTTAAGTAAGTTTTATGTGGTAAGAACATAGTGCTAAGAATGTTTAAGACCACAGTTTCAAAAATTATGGTGTGTTCTTAGTTTGACATTTAACATTTCTTGAAAACACTTATTCAAATATCAACCTTGACCTCTGTTGCAACAAATATTCTTATCCAGAACTTCTTAAAATGTTGGCTAAAGCTGCCTTAATGTACCAAAATACAGCTTTCTCTCAAGACTGTTCACAAACATCTACGGTTGTACAATGTCTTGAATATTTAATGTAAAATTGATATAGAACTGTGAACTCTAAGGATAGTATCTTGATATTGTTTTAGTAAGAATGACTGTGTTCTCTGTCTTGTATGCTTAAATATTAAACAGTGGATTTTGAATGCAACAAATAAAACTGAAAGTTGATGGCCATTAGGTTATGTCTCTGACAATCATAAGACAAATACTTAAAATATTTCAAGAACATCTTGCGTTCTTTCTTATCCTACCTTTGAAAAACAATTATAGGCTGACACATTTACATACCTATTTTTAAAGAAAAGTGTAAACTACTGATATTGGGACCACTTTTTATCATTGGTTTTGAGAAAAGATTCCCAGTGCTTTTGTGTTCTAATGACCACAGATTCAAATTTCAGTTTTGTTTGTTGTGTATTTTTTGTGAATGTTAAATGATCAATGGGAAGGGTTTGTCTTGCAGTAACCATATGGAAAAACTGTCTTCTTGAATTACACAGCATTTCATAGTTACAGTTTCTCCCTAATTGATGTTTGCACTGTATAAAAGTCATAGGCGATAAACTCAAAAGAGAAATGCAGCCTATCTGATTGCTTAGAAGCTTTTTTCACAAAATCAAATTAAAATTGTTGGTTAATTTGAAAGAGATTTTTGTTTCTGTTTAGTCATTAAGTTAATATGCTACATATCAACTAATACAGAGAAATCTGTTATAGGCAAAGATTACCTATGACTCATTGGAGGTTTTTAAATCATCTTTGTTCATGTGTGTCTTCTTTGTTGTTGACTTGAGCCATTGCATGAGTTTTCTATTATTATAACAAATTGCTACAAACTTAAAACACACATTTATTATTTTATTGTCTGTAAGTCAGAAATTGAGTGGACTTAGCTGGTTTTTCTGCTTTAAGTCACACAGGCTGAAAACCAAAGTGTTGATAGGGCTGGGCTATGGGGAGGAATCTGTTTTCAGACTCATTCAGTTGCTGTCAGATTTTAATTTCATGCTACTGTAGGACTGAGGTCCTTGGTTCCTTCCTGGCTGTAGGCTAGAATTCATTTACCGCTTCTAGAGGCCATCAGCATATCCTGGCTCATGAACTCCTCATCTTTAAAGCCAGTAGCGAGGGGCTCATGCTTCATGAACTGCCTAGACATCCCTCTCTCCTCTTCCTGTTTTTCCACCATGTCTGTCTTACTGACATACTGATTATTTGTCCTTCCTCTAATTTTAAGGGCTCATGTGATTAAGTTGGGCCAACCTGGGTAGTGTGCTTTTAGGAAAACATTGTGTTCTAGCCCTTGTTTTTAAAAAAAGTAAACACATCAAAGTCAGGATATATAAGTAAATATTTCAATTTCCTTTTTTTAAACTTTAGTAAGAAGAATGGATTTGTTTTTGTTTATTGGCTAAAATAGTTTCATATATTTCCTAAATTGCACGGGTAATGGAGGTTTATTATAGGAAACTTGAAAAGCACAGAAAGTTTGAAGAAGCTAAGAAAAACATCATCCATAACCCTGTTACCCAGAGGCAGCCACTTCTTAAAGTTTTATCATAATCATGTTTTTCTCTTCCATTTCTTCCACCTAAAATATGCTTTTTTAAAATTCTGAAGATCTGCAGGAGATAACCTGGTCAAGAAGGTTACTATGTCATCTTGGAAGACCATGTATATCACAAAGGTACTCAGAAAGGGGAAAGGAAACCCAGCTTATAAATAAATGAATTTATGGGTGGGACAGAATTAGCCTCCATTAGGGTCAACTGCCTTGGTATGCTGTCTTTTATCTGACAGAAGGCTGTTATCCTGTCTTTTTACAGAAAATTTAAATAAAATATAAATTCAGTCTTTCCATTAAAACTTTATGCTAGATTAGGGTTTCTAGGGGACAGATGACATCTACTTGGGACATCACTAGCAGTTATGGTATTTATATTCTAAAACCTTGCAGATTAATAACGTGAGGAATTTAGTTGAAATGCTTTGATTTAAAGAATGGAGGAAATGTGGCTGATATTAGTGATAATAGAAGCATAACCACAGTAAGTGGATAGAATGGATAGAAAAGCAATAATTTTTCTAAAAAAACTATACCATATCAGAAGAGTAAAGGTACTAGATATTAGACCATATAGTTTGTCCTTTAAAAATATATTTAATAGATTTTTTTTTAACACCAAACGTTTTACTGTGTCTGTGCAAAATAAATCATCCTAGCCATTCTTGCAAGTCTTAAGATTTGAATTTTTAAAATGTATTTTTGTTTTCAACATCTTCCAACTTCAGAAAATGCCAGGGACAAAAATAGTACCACTTATGTAATATTGTATATTAAGGATTTTAGAATACTTTTATTTATATTGTTACATGACAACCACCCTGTCAAATAGGCAAGATGAGTGTCATCAGCCCTGTTTTCTAATGAGGAAATTGAGATGCAAAGAGCTGACACAGAATTAGAACAAAAGATCATGTGAAGAGCTGGAAAGTGAATGGAACAAACCTATCTCAGTTTAAATTTAGTCCACTGGCACTCCAAGATTTAAAATACTTCATGGTTTGGTGAAATGGCGAGAGTAACATATGGTTTATGATTCTCTGTTGAACAAAATGCATGAAAGGTTTCTGCTCAACATAGCTATATACTCTCCTTGACCACAGGCTGTACTTGCTTCATCTTCTGCAATGCCTACTGTATAGCAGGTCTTGGCCTAGGGAGCGGGAGAGGCCTGCAATTGCCTGATTGTCCCTCACTGGTGGAAAACTTAGAAAACTCCAAGCAGAGTTTGGTCTCTAGTTCAAGCAGAAATATATTTTCCATCTTTGGTACCAGCCTTAATCTCACCTCCCAAAAAAGAAGTCTCAGAGCCAGTCCCTAATTCTCCTCTCTCACCTCTGTATCTGATTAGTCACTAAGACATTCTCTTTACCTCTGTAATACCACTAAAGGGACTCCTGTACCATACATTTTTATTGCTGCTGTCTTCAATTAAGGTCTAATGTCCTTTTGCCTAGAATATTGTAAAAGTTTCTTTTTTCTCTGTTATCCACATTGCTGTGATTGCCTGACCACCCCCTCCACACCAGACGTCAGGCATTTCCTTTCTGCCTAAACCTTGAATGGCTTCTTACTCTCTAGAGATAAAAGTACAAATGAACTTTCTCACATTCTAGTTCCAACTTAGCCCTTTCTAGACCGAGCCTGCCATTTCCCACCAGATATAGTACACTTCATTTACTTTGAATTTCTTTATGGTCATCAGAGCGTGAATTTTTCATTTCTGTGCCTTGTCTACGACCAGGCTTCAGTGTCACCTTCCTGTAAATCTGTCTTAATCCTCTAGCCATTCCATTCATATCATGTGTATTTTACTATATTATTTGTAATAATCTCTTTACATATTTCCTTCTCTAAACTCTGAACTCTATGAATACCTTTGGTTCTTCTTTTTTAGAATGTGTTTGGTCTAATTTATTAGCAAATGCTACTTGGAATTTGGGGAAAAAGAAGATAAAAGAACCTAGAAGCTTAAAAAATAGTCTAAAAGTATAAAGGATGAGGCCATGGAAACAAATTCTATCACACCCTACCAGGCCACAATCACCCTGCTTAAAGAACTGAGCAAAATTCTTTAGCTTTTCAGTGCTGAAAAAGCCACTTAAAAGATTTTAAAACAGTTGAATCCATATGTAGAATTTATTTATCTCATTGACATGCACTGTACATCATTTAGAAAATAGAATAAGTTTTAGTTAAAGCTCAGCTTTTAAATGCCTTTTAAATACCTTGATTTTTTAAAAAAAGACTGAGCCACAATTACTTTAATATTATCCTTTAAATTTGAGTATTTAAAAAAACTTTGGTTACACTAATTACTGTTCAAAATTAAATTATACCAAATTTGAATGCACAATATCTTGAAATTACAAACGCTCTTGTACTAATATTAGAATCAAACTAACCATCTGCGCAACTGACTAGGTGCCATAAGGCATGATTTCTAACTTTGGATATGGCTCATTAAACAAGTGCTCAAATGCTAACACACACAGTTTCACGTTCTCTTGAACTGGCAGTGAAGTAGATACTGAAATAGACATTGAAAGATAACCTTTTAGGAGTTAAAACCAACATCTAAATGTTGAGGATTTGTTTTTGTTTTTCTTTTTTAAATTCTGAAAGAAAGTTTTTGCAGATCCCACCATCTCATTTTGACATGTAAACTGAAATTGATGTGAGGCAGGAATAACGTCTTAGGACTTGTTCGGTGCAGCCCATAACATTTGACCTTGGTCCTCCTAAGATGACCAACTTTGATGCCTGAGAAAAAAGAAAAATATACAAACATTTGGAAATATAGGCTGATAGAACAGTTAAACAGAAGATTTCTAGGGAATTTCTTATTCAGTTTAATATTTTAATGCTCCATGAAAATGTCTCTGATGCTCTATAGAGAAGTTTGATAGCATACTCAAGAGACACCACAATAAAGTCTCTTCCAATATAATCCTTATAGAATATAGGGCACTGCATATCTAATATTCAAAACTTTTCCTGAATTTCAATAAATTCAGTAGTCTTCCCTTGAGACTCATGTACACATCAATGCATTAAGTACTTAAAACTCATGAGTTAAAGTATAAAACCAAACCACTTACTTGAAATCTAGATGTTCAATGAGCACGTATCCATCTGTAGAAACAAACATTACCATCACTAATTTGAAGTTATAGTGAAAGTGCTTTACTTTTTTTAATTTTATGGGCAATAAGTCAATAAACTTACATTTGCCTTCAGAGTTGCGACATATCACTAGATTTTGTTTAGTGGTATCAATGACTTCCAGTTCTTCTCCAGGGGTTATTGGCAAATCACATATTCCATTTCTTGAATTATTAGAACACGCCACTGCTGTGTTGATGACAGTAATCTCTTTGTCATACTGAAATGAGAAATTACTAATCAGACTATTCTTGCATAGTTGTTATTCTTTTGAAATCTGTTGACCAGAAAAAAAAGCAATTCCAGAATATGTAGCTTAGATGATGTTAGATATCTACTCCACCAAACTAGGGTGACCACATATCTCCCTTTGCCCAGGGCAGTCTCTGTTTATAACTAAAGTATCTACAAATATTTATGGTGATGATTAAAAGTACCTCCTTCCATTCTCAGAAGTGTCCTGTATTTGGAGGCTGAGTGGCAAGACTAATGTATACCAAATGGGTTCTGATCTACAGGATAGATTTCTCTTTTGCCTTACAAAGTAATAGTTTCCTAACTGGTTTTTATCATTTCCAGGCCTTTGCTTATTGTGCATCAGTAAGTTCTTAAAATACAAATCTGATTAGATCACTTTCCCATGTATAACATTCTAAAAACCTGTTCATTGCTTTCAGGATGAGACCTTACACTTCTGAACTTGACATTCAGGGTCCTTGGCATACTGTCATTTCTCTTCCATCCATCTCTGTCCCCTTTATTGAAGCTGACTCAAGCTATATGACATTTCTTGAATACACCATATACCTTTCATATTCCCATAGCATTGCTCATGCTGTTTTCTGTGCATGAAATACCCTTTTTTCTCTTAACCATTTCACATGAAGACTTTTATAACTGCCATGTATAATTTACTGTTTTAACTGCACTTTGTATATACTCCTATTATAGCATCTAATAAACATACTATCTCATAATGTAAATTGAAGACAATCTTACTCATCTTTGTATTCTCAATGTCTGACACAGATGGGGTACCCAATATTTTATTATTTGAGCTGAATCACAGTTATTGAAATGGCATAATTTTTCTAATGATATATCAAGGAAACCCACCGCAGGTAATAAGGAAGAATGGAATCCCACACACATATAGAAAATGGCATTTCTTTCCCACTTGAGATAGTAAAAAGTACATTGAGGGGAAAAGCAGTGGATGGAATATAGGAGTATTTTCAACAAGTAATCACTCTACTGTTGCTTTTCAGCTAATCAAATGACATCACAGTTGTGGTAGATAATTTCACATATCACAATTTCTAGATATAGTTATTTCAGTCAGCTTTGGTCCAGGCAGGAATTATCAGTGATTATGAGAGAGTTGTATATACTCCTATTTTAGTTTCTTTCAAAAATATTTTATGGATGTTTATAAAGTGTTAACTAGTTCTACCCATGGATGTGGAGATAAATAAGATAACTCTTGCTGTCTAGGAGCTTATAGTTTAATATAATCAACATCTAAATGCAAGTATGTTAATATTTTGTGATAAGGCTGAGGTCGCTCAGATATATAGGTGAATAGAAGAAGAGTAATTTATTTGATCAGCAGGTTTGAGCAAGTTTTCCTGGAGAAGAGGCGATGCCTCATCCAGTGCTTGATAAGTGAACAAGAGCTAGTTAGATGGAGAAAGGCAGCAAGGGTGTTCCAGATAGCTGGGTAGACCAAGTAATGCCAAGAGTAATGAAATTGCTTGACAGACATAGAGGTTCAGATGAGCAGTTTGTTGCCAACGCACAAAGTACAAGACGAGAGAAAACCAGAAAGATAAGCAGAGGTCATGACATGAAGAGCTTTATCTGCCATGTTAAGAAACTTTAACTTTAACCATTTGTCAAGGGGAAATTTTTGAAAGATTTTAGGCAGAGTAGTGACTTAGACAACTTTTATGAGCAGTATGTACACTTTGAATCTGAATTCAATGTCTAGCACCTAGAAGGTGTTCAATGTTTCTTAAATTAAATCCTTTAACACTATATGAAATCAGGGCAGATTGTTAAAATAAAGAATAAATGTTCCATGGCTTCTTAATGACAGAAAAATAAATCAAAGAGCTTCAGATGCTGCTTCATTCCTTTATTTGTTATCCATTTGTTTATTTGTTTAATCGACCATTCATTCACCAAACACTGTGTTCAATTTTATTTTGGGACCGGGGGAGCAAACTTGAATGAGACAGGATCTCTTCGTCTAGAGGGACTCAAGAGATTAGTTTAGGACACACGCACAGACACATACACGTGCGCGCTATAACACAACTGATTGGTGTTATAAGATATCTGTATATAACAGATAAAAATGTGCTGAGGGAATAACCTTATCTAGAGGAGTTAGGGAAGAGTAGGCGAGATTTGAGCAGAGCCCCCACAAAAAACCTTGGAGTTTTTCCAGGCAGAAAGAATAGCATGTACAAAGACAGGACAACATAGAAGAGCATGCAGGGGGAAGAAAAATATATTTTTTAGTTAAAGATTATATCTCCAGAGGCACAGTACACCTGTAGGATCGTTAAAAATAGAAGTTGCTAGTTTTTAATATTGCTAATTTTTACCTTCAGAGAGAACATACCTTAAATCTTTCTCTAAAAAGTTTTTCTTCTCTTTCCATTCTGTTCTTTTCTAAGTTTTGCTTCTTGGTTCTGAAGAAATTTCTAGTAGATAAACTGGCAAGAAATATGCAGGTAGAGTTAAATGTATGTGAAGTTAAAACTTAAGTTTTCAAGTCTATGATGTCATTCCATTTCAGGATAAATTCAGGTATAATTTTTTGTGTGTATGATTTTATGTAAAAATCACACATATATAAAGTCATATGTCTGTACATATGTGGATATATACACACATGTATGAATGTGCACACGCATGCACATGCATGCGTGCGTGCACACTCACAGGCATACACATATATCTCCAGTAGAGTAGATGGTCAAAGCAACTGAACAAGGTAAGTAACATTAATTGCTTTTCTCCACAATTAAAATTTTTATTTGACAGCCAGATAATAACTTGGAATAAAATCAAATTGTTTAGCCAATTTAAGGTAAAAAAAAAAAAAAAGGAAACCTGTCTGAATCAGATTTAAGAGAATAATTAACTTGTTTAAAAAATTTAAAAAAAAACTTAAGGAAATTGATAAGTCTTCCCACTCACTTTCAGATTATTTAATGGAAACCAGTAAGAATGAGTAAGGGGTTTACATTTTGGGTTTTCCAAGTTTTTAAACCGATTTAGGGAGTTATACATCTATGTGGCTCAATAAAAGAACCAACCTGCTTGCTGAGTGAGTTGGGAGATGAATACAATTAAGAAAATTGAGCAAGATGCCACAAAACATGTGCAAAAGTGTCAGCACATAAGAAAGAATAACCCTACAGCAGAAGCTGATTACATTCTTCCTCCTCCTTCCTGCTTTTCAAGTGGGATTTAGGCCTGCTTTTTAGCAGTTTAATATATTGACAGAAGGAAGAAAAAAAAAAGTCAACCAAATCCTTTCAGTTCTATTCCAAAGTGTCTCCTACTTGTTTGTTTAGCTCTTTCCAAGATCACAGTCACCGCCATATTTCAGACTGTCACCACTTCTTGCCTGAAATATCTTCTTTTTGCCTTTCCTACCCCAAATGCATCTGCATATCTGCCTGCAGAGTCATTTTTCCATAATCTGTCATATGAATCTCTTGCTGAACACCTTTTTATTTCTACTGCCTATAGGATAAACTCTAAATTCATTGGTTTTCAAAATCTGACCCAATCTATCTTGCCAGCTTTATCTGCTGCCCTTTTCCCTACACACGCACTGTCTCCTTGGATCATTTTAGAAAGTGGGCTATCCTCATGTACTTTATACCTGGGATACTGCTATGGTTTGGCTATTTGACTCCTCCAAACCTCATGTTGAAATTTGATCCCCAGTTTTGGAGGTGAGGCCTAATGGAAGATGTTTAGGTCATGGGGACAGATCCCTCATGAATGGCTTGCAGCCCTCCTCCTGGTAAGAAGTGAGTCATTGCTCCTCTGGTCCTGAGAGAGCTGGTTGTTTAAGAGCCTACCTCTCCCCTCCCCACCATTTCCTTTCTCACTATGTAATCTCTCTCTCTGCATACACCAACTGTCTTTCACCTTCTGCTATGAGTGGAAGCAGCCTGAAGGCCTCACCAGAAACAGATGTTGGTGCCAGGCTTCTTGTAGTCTGCAAAACCATGAGCTAAATAGACCTCTTTTCTTTATAACTTACTCAGCTCCAGGTAATCCTGTATAGCAACACAAAGAGGCTAAGACAGATACCCTTCCCTAATTTCTCTTAAAACTTGTCATCAGCTTAGATTAATAAAGAAATAATAAGAGGGTTGAGCTAATAAAAAAAGCATTTCTTACTTATTGGCAGAAGAAGTTATGGTAGAAATCATTTAAAAAGGATCAAAGAGAACATAGAAGTCGATACAGCAATTTACTTTTACTTCACTATCACATTTACTCAGTTAAGCATAAATGTATGTCGTACATATACACAGTGGAATATTATGCAGCCACAAAGAAGGACAAACATGGACTTCGCGGCAACTTGGATGGATTTAGAGACCATCATACTCAATGATTTATCACAGAAACAAAGAACAGAGACCATATGTTCTCACTCATAAGTGGACCTTGAACAATTATATCATATAAGAAAGGGATTGGCAGTAATGGGAAACTGCCAGGGAAGGAGGGTGGGATTGGCAGTTGAGGGAAACTGCCAGGGTAGGGAAGGGCACGCCTCATCAACAAGGGTACCTGCATAATGAACATTTGTATACCTAACCCTGAATTTTACTCCACATCTTTAAAATAAAAAATAAAAGAAAAAAGAATAAATGTATATATTATATCAGTTTGCTGTAAAAAATAAAGCACTAGAAAATTGTTTCCTAAAAAGACTTATAGTTGCTTATATGTAGTTATCAACACAATAAATATATTTTGGAGGGCATAAAAAATGTACTATTTCCCCCCTTGAAATTCCATGTTGTTACTCTATGCAAACATATGTAAAAGAATGAAGTCTGAGGTAGAAAGTTGCTTTTCTAGTCTGAATACATCTTTCCAGTTTGAGAAAAATAAACAACATCAAGTCTAAAAGAAGGGCCATCCTATGCCATCCTGAGTCTAGATTTGGTTCAAGCTGTCTGGTTTCTGTTGAGGTAATCTTCCCTAAGAGGTTTCCTAGAGCAGACGGATTACACAGAGTTCGCATTTCAGGGACTATTTAGCCAAGGATTTCCCCAAGATATTTATTAAAGTACCTCTGATCCTGCCCCATGCTCAAGCAATTGAGAAGCCTGGAGCACATAGTACTAAGTAATCGTCTGAGTCAGAAAAACATGTCCCGCAACAGCCACCTGGGAACCTGAATTATTTGAATGAGGGTTAGACATTGAGTCAATAGAATGTTCTCTATTTAAATTCTAGCATCAACTGTAGTCCTACTAGAGCTATGTTTTAGGGAAAGCAGTCTAACACTATGCTTTTTTCTCAAAGTTACATTTAAGTTCCAATTGGTATGTTACTGAAGTGCTATTTCATAGGGGAAAAGTTCTAGAAGATTGGAAGTTTTTCATAAGGGCTGACTTGAGATCTTTCCCTATTTCCCATCCATGAAAAGTAGGGAGGATAATGTTGGTGATAAATGTGTGTGGTACTTAACATTTTTATATTCTTTGTCTCTTTTAATCTTCTGAGCTGCTATAAAGTAGGTGTTGTTATTCTCATTTTGCATGTGAGAAACCCCATAATCAAAAGGAATGACTTGCCTAAGGTCACACATCTGGAAAGAGACATAAATTTCAGCAGAGAAGCTGTAATGTAAGTGCACCTGTGTTCCACATTCCTACCTTTCTGGTTCTTCAGTACCTTTTCTCTCTTTTTTTTCCTTTGGTATCAAAAACTTGGGCTTCCATGTTCTCAGTTTATCTTTCTCTCTGAAGAGAAAGATATTTTGAGTAAGTAAATTAAGAGCGAATTAATAAACCTTTATGGCACTATCAATCAATGCTTCATGGACAATTATGAGAAAATCCAAAAGTCTTCTAGAAATATATTCTGATAATCTGTGACAAGATCATATAGAAAATATTTTAGGCTTTGCAGGTCATATCGTTTCCATGGCAAATATTCACATTTACTCTTGTAACTTCATTTACAAAAACAAGTGGCGGACCATATTTGGCCACAGGCTATAGTTTGCTGACCTGTGAAGATCCAAGTTTGAAACCAGAAGCAAGAAATTGACCTGCTTATAATCAGATTTCATCTTTCTGGGTCTCAGTTTCCTTGCCTCTAAAATGTGAATAACAATACTAATACAATCCCTGAGACAAGACTGAGCTGACTAGTGTTTAGCATTAGTGGGTCTGGGCGGAAGAGGATGCAGTGAAGGGAGAAAGTATTTATTACAGAAGGAAACAATCCTTGTTGAGCACCTGTGTGTGGGGACTTATGTTAGGTATTGTACATACTCATCGTTTTTCACAGTATTGCCAGTCTTTTAAAGTAGTCATTCATAAAATTTTACAAAGAAGGAATTTGTAAGAGAGAACAAAATGGATGATCAAAGTGGGTGCAACCATTTTGGAAAGCAAGTTGGCATTGTCTTATGAATGTTCATCCCCCATATAGATTGCATTTCTTTCCCCTTCTAAGTGTATCTCCTTGAAAAATTATTGTACATATTCCCTGAGACATGGGTAAGAGTATCTATGACAGTATTGCTTGTAAGTGAAAAAAATTAGAAACTACTTCAATACCTATAAACAAGAGAATGATAAGTGAATTGTGATGTGTGTGCGCACATACACACACACTCACAATGGAAAATTATAGAACAGTAAAAATGAATTATAGCTCAAGCGCGGTGGCTCAAGTTTATAATCCCAGCACTTTGGGAGGCTGAGATGAGAGGACTGCCTGAGCCCAGGGGTTCGAGACCAGCCCAGGCAACTTGGCGAGACCTTGTCTCTACAATAAAATTTTTAAAAAATTAGCCAGGCGTGGTAACGCTTGCCTGTATTTCCAGTTACTTGGAAGGCTGAGGCAGAAGGATCGCCTGAGTCCAACAGGTCAACACTGAGGTGACTGTGAGCGTGCCACTATACTTCAGCCTGGGCAACAGAGTGAGACTGACTCAAAAAGAAAAAACAAAATTATATAGGAAAAAAGATGGATTTTATTTAGTAAGATAAAGAAATGGAAGCATTCTGTATACAGCATGCCATATTTATAATTTTCAAATTCCAAATGAAGCAACACATTTATCATCTGTGTTTGATAAAATTATTTTTGTTTTGAACAAGGAAATGGAAAACAAAATTTAGGAGAGTGGTTACCTTGGGGGAAAGGATAGGGGGTGTGTACAAGTGAAACAGTCCAATGTATTGGATTGTGTTCCAGTTCTTAAGTTGAATGATGAGTTCAGGGCAATTTGTTTTGCTAGGTTTTACAACTTATATATGTTTTGTTTTGTTTTTATTTTTACCTACTTGTATTTTAAGAAAAAGAACTCAGGCTGGGCATGATAACTCACGCCTATAATCCCAGCACTTTGGGAGGCTGAGGAAGGAGGATTGCTTGAGCCCAGGAATTCAAGACCAGCCTGGCAACATAGCAAGACCTTGTCTCCACAAAAAATAAAAAAAAAGTAGCCAAGTGGAGTGGCTCATAACTGTAGTCCCGGCTACTGGGGTGCTGAGGCGGAAGGATTGCCTGAGTCCATGGGGTCAAGGCTGCAGTGAGCCATGATTGTGCCACTGTACTCAGCCTTGGTGACAGAATGAGACCCTGACTCCAAAGAAAAAGAATTCAACCAGGTGCAGTGGCATGAACCTGTAGTCCCAGCTTCTTGGGAGGCTGAGGTAGGAGGATTGTTGGGAGACCAAGGGTCCAACCAAGACTGCAATGGGCTATGATCATGCCTGTGAAAAGCCACTGCACTCCAGCTGGGTAACATATTGAGACCTCATCTCAAAACAAAAACACAAAAAACAAAACAAAAAAAGTCAGACACACACAGAAATGTTCATTCTCTACTCTAATTTGAGATTTTAGGACCCTCCTCCATCTTAGACTAAATTACATTTGCTATTTGTAACCCCCTCTTTCTTGATATATGCTTTATGGTCCAACAAAACTTCCCAAACACACGTGTTTTTCGTTTACACGGTTGGCCCCCTACCTCCTGCCCCTTCCTTTTCTCTCCTCTCCTTTTGCTCTCAGACTCCACCTGTCAAAACGTTATTTATCTTTCCTGCTTCAGCTTAGCACAGAGATTTTTTTGATCTCCTCCATGACAATAATGGCTACCTATTCTAAGCTTGCAGATTCTTTTGCAAATTTTTATAGCAGGTCTTTCTTTGTTAACTAATTTAAAAAATGATGTTTTGGTATCAGGCCACATGTTATAGATCTGATAGCTACAGTGTCTACCTCAGGGAGTTCCCAGTCTAGCAGATAAGATGGTCAAGAAGCAGACCATTACAACTATGAGGAAAATGTTTTGATAAAAAGGGGTACCTAACTTAAATAGATAAGATCAGAGAGGGCTTCCTGGGGAAAGTAAAATCTGAATTTAGTTTTAAATAATGAGAAAGTATGACAAAGTGTGTTACAGGTAGAATCGTTCTTTGTTCTTAAGTTTTCACCTCCTTAGAAAGGGTTATTCCAGCAATCAACCATAAAATGAGTATCAACCCCCTACCGACACACACCCTATGTTTATTCCCTCTCAAAATATCCTGTTTTGAAGCAGACAAATTCCAATGTGTCATTACAGACACATTGTCATTATTTTTCATTTACTTATTTGTCTCTCTAGTCAGACGAGTAAGTATTGTGTCTGTTTTGTTCACTGCTTTATATCCAACACCTAGCACAGTGCCAGGCACATATTATATGCTCAATAAATACTTGTTGAATTTATTAATCATGTTGGAACAAATATGAAGGTTTAAAAATTCTGGAAAGCTTGTCAAGTCCAAGGAGTTCCAAGTAGTGCAGTATGGATGAAACACAGAAATGGTGGGTGAGGGGAAAGTACAGATGAGGCTATGAGGTTGCCGGGGACTGGATCATGAATGAATCTTATCTCTTCCAATGCCCTTTGGACGTTATTATGAGAGCCATGGATAACCACTCAACAGTTTTAAGCTAGCAGGTACAGGGTTTTATGACATGATTAGATTTGCAGTTCAGAAAGTTTGGAGAATCAACTAAAATGGAGGTAACATAGCCATTTGGGGAGTTGTCACAGTTATCTGGTTGAGAAGCAATGAGGGGCTGAATTGTGACTGTGCAGTGAGAACAGAGAGGGGGGAACACTTTGGTAGTTTACCAGAACACAGCAGTGAGGAGGGCAGGACATGAGGGGAGGTGGAGTTAAGGATAAGCTAGGGCTTTGGTTTGGTTAATAGTATATTTATTGAAACAGTCACACACAGAGTGATGAGAAGAAAAGATCAGACTTGGATGGGAGGGATGACATCATGCATTCTTATAGATATTCTGAGTTTCAGACAGAGTTAACCAGCAAACTTGTTAGAGGACAGGAGAGAAATCTGATTTTAAAATGTGAATTTTGGTATCACCACCATAGTGATTATAATTGAAGCCTGGGTATAGATGAGCTAACTCAAGAAGAGGAAAATGTGGTACATATACAAGATGGACTGTTAAGCAGCCATAAAGAAGACCAAATCATGGCTTTCACAGCAACATGGATGTAGCTGGCAACCATCATACTAAGTGTACTATCACAGAAACAAAGAGCCAAATACTGCATATCCTAACTCAAAAGTGGGCTCTGATTACAGGTCACACCAGCACAAGGGTGGGATCAGCAGATACTAGACAATGCTAGGGAGGCAAGGTAGGGAGCACACGGCATACACTGGGTACCTGGTCCACTATCGGGGAGAGAGGACCACACTGGGTACCTGGTCCACTATGGGGGGATAGCAGGCCAGTTAGAACCCAAACTTCACCTGCATGCAGCCATAAGTTGTAATAAATCCCTGCTTATACCCCACAATTCTTAAAATAAAGAAGAACAGAAGGGAATAATAAAAGAGAGCTGATATAGAAAACTTGAGGGAGGAACACTAATATTCAAGAGATGAGTGATAAATTAGAACTCTCTCTCACCTTCACACAACCACTTAGGAGGAGAAGGCAAAGATGAGGAAGGACTAATGGAAGTTTATGGAACGACATCCTCAAGATGGCTGACTCAAAGTGGCTGGCACTCATTCTTCCCCATGAGAAAGGACCAAGGCAATGAATATACAGTTATGATTTGAGAAAAGGGAACTCTTATTCAATGTTGGTGGGCATATAAACTAATATAGCCACTTTGGGGATCATTGTGGAGTTTCCTCAAAAGGCTACAAATAGAACTACCATATTATCTAGCAATTCAACTGCTGGGCAGATATCCAAAGGAAAGGAAATCAGTATATCAAAGAGACATCTGCACCCCATGTTTACTGCAGCACTATTCACAATAGCCAAATATGGAACCAAACTAGGTATCCAATATCAGATGAATAAAGAAAATGTGAAAGATATATAAAATGTGATATATATATATGAATATTATTCAACCATAAGAAGAATAAAATGCTTCCATTTGCAGCAACATAGATAGATCTGGAAGTCATTATGTCAAGTGAAATAAGCCAGGAATAGAAAGTTAAACACCACATGTGTTCTCATTCACATGTGGAGACTGAAAAAATTGTTGATCTCATAGAAGTAGAGTAGAACAGAGGGTGCTAGATACTGGAAAGGGGAGGGAAGGGGGAAGAGAATAAGAGATTTAAAATTTAATTTAATTTAATTTTGAGTCAGGGTCTCACTGTCACCCAGTTGGAGGGTAGTGGCATGATCAATTATGGCTCACTGCAGCCTCAATTTTCTGGGCTCAGGTGATCCTGCTGCCTCAGTTTTTTGAGTAGCTGGGACTACAGGCATTTGCCACCATACCCAGCTAATTTTTTTTATTTTTGTAGAGACAAGGTCTTGCTATGTTGCCTAGGCTGGTTTTGAACTCCTGGACTCAAGTAATCCTCTCACCTTAGCCTCCTCCCAAAGTGCTAGGATTATAGGAGTAAGTCACCAGATCCAGCCTTATTTTTATTTTTATCTTTTTGACTTGGAATCTCACTCTGTCACCCAGGCTGGAGTGCAGTGTCACGCTCATGGCCACCCAGCATCAACCTACTGGGCTCCGGTGATCCTTCTGCCTCAACTTCCCAAGTTGTTGGAACTACAGGCGCATGCTACTATGCCCAGCTAACTTTTTTGATTTATTGTAGAGACAAGGTCTCGTCAAGTTTTCCAGGCTGGTCTCAAATCTGCAGGCTCAGGCAATCCACTCGCTTCGGCTTCCCAAGTGCTGGGATTACAGGCTGAGTCACCAAGCCCAGTACCCAGCCTTATTTTTAGAGACAGGGTCTCACTCTGTCATTTAGGCTGTATTCAGTAGTGTAATTATAATTTACTGTAACCTCAAATTCCTGGGCTCAAGTGATCCTCCAGCCTCAGTCTCCCAAGTAGCTGAGACTATAGGTGTGTACCACCATGTCCAGATGTTTTTATTTTTTGTAGGGACAGGGACTCACTATGTTGCCCAGACTGGTCTTGAACTCCTTGGCCTCAAGTGATCCTCCCACATTGGCCTCCCAAAGTGCTGGGATTACAGGTATGAGACTGCACCCAGCCTGAGATATTTAAGAATACAAAATTTCAGCTACGTAACAGGAATAAGTTCCAGTGTTGTATGCCACTGTAGGATAACTATTGTTAACCATATATATTATATAGTTTCAAACAGCTAGAAAGAGGGTATGAATGTTCTCAACACAAAGAAATGGCAAATATTTGAGATGATAGATATGCTAATTACTCTAATCTGATCACTATACATTATATGTATTGAAACATCACCATGTACTCAATAAATGGGTACAATTATTATATACCATTTTTTAAAAAAATTAAATTTAAAAAGTGAAATAATGATAACATGGAAACTGAGGGAAAAGTTAGTATATTTTTTTCCTTTGGTAGATGGTCAACAGTATGATATTTACAGAGGAGCCAAGCAAAATAGGAACTTAAAAGTATCCACTGAATTCAACAAAGGAGTTACTAGTGACCTACCAAAAATAGGTTTACTAGTATGATAGGAAGAGAACTAAAATGCAGTAAGCAGGGAAAGTTGAATTGAAGATGTGCAGAGGAGACCTTTATATTTAGCCATTTGGTCAAGAGGAAAATAATAAATAACAAGTGACTAGAAAGGGCATCGAGCTTAAGGATGGTTTCCTTTTTGAGAGATTATAGATATTTACTCCTTGAATACAGAGGTTCTGTCCAATAGTGCTTGTGATCTTCCATGTTGTCTCAGACATGGGAGGTTATTAAATAAATGTGTTGAAATGAGTTTCAAGACTCTCAATTTAAAGATAAGGAACAGAGACAGATTCCAAAACTCTGATACCTTTTGAATCACCCACCACTGTTGGATCATCCATGTTATTCATTTTTTTCCCTTCGTAGTGAGGAGAAAAATCTCATTTGACTTTTTCTTCCAGTCTCCAAGGATCTGAAGAGATGGCTTTCTGATTGTATTTAACAAAGCATCAGGAAATGGATCAAATATCAGCAAGGATTACCAATTAGGTAAATTAACTTACTTTGACTCTTTTTCACTCAGGTCCACATCATCATAGATAATAACTTCTTGAGACCTAAATTCTAGGGTCAAGATGGGATGAAAATAGTTCATTATTAGGTATGGTTTATATAAACCTTGGCTTTCCCAGTTACATACTATTACATAATTATCCAGGTGCATTCTCAAGTCTGTTTTATCAAAATCTAATCATAGACTATACATAGGCTGAAGGATCACAGACCAAAAAGATTCTCCATTTGGGAAGAAATTCAACTGAGGGATTAAAAAATAGTGAGATGCCCTAGTATCTCAAACACATGTACATATTTATATTAATTTGATTTAATGCAGACTTTCAGAAAAATATGAGTTGCTGAAAGAATCATTTTTAGACTAGGTTCCCATCTTTCTGGAATTGGACAATGATGTTATACTGTTAGAATAACAAGAGGGTTTTTCTTAATTCCCAAGGGGGGGGGAAAACTGTTTAATAGAATATTAATGTTGATTTTTCTTCCATAATTTTTATTTCATATATTGACAATTGCTCCTTTATAATAATCTGGCAAAACATTGAATCTGATCATAATTATGATCTAATCATAATTAGATATTTTCTATTCAGGATATTCACATTCCTTGACACTCTACATAGAATTCCATGACTTCAGGTGATTCATCATCTCAACAAGTTTGAGACCTTCTAGCATAATTATTCATAACTTAGTCAAGTATTCATAATTACTTATTGCTTTAATTATTTAATGCCTTTAAATTTGGGTGGAGGTAAAATGCATGCCTATTCTAGGTTGGCTTTTTTTTTTTTTTACACAGACCAAGGATATGTTGGGAGACCTGTGATCTTACCAAGTGTATATAATATAATCTTCATTTGTTATTTAGTTCGGCAAACTCATATTGTGAAATATAATATACAATTGCCAAGTCAGAGTGACATCAAAGTAGGCCACATGGTTAGTGCCCATAAACAAAAAACAACAAACAACAAAATTCATGCCTTTCTTTTATTGACAAATTCAATGTACTGAACTTGTAATGAGAGCCTACTATGTGTCAGACACTGTACTTATTTATACATTATTTTTTTTTATTAAAAAATTTTTTTTTTTGGTGTTGGAGTCTCACTCTGTCGCCCAGACTGGAGTGCAGTGGCTGTTCCTGGCCACTGCAGCCTCGACCTGCTGGGCTCCGGCGATTCTTCCATCTCAGCCTTCCAAGTGGCCGGAATTACAGGCATGCGCTACCACGCCCGGCTGATTTTTTGATTTATTGCAGAGATGAGGTCTCGCTGCCCAGGTGGGTCTCGAACCCGCGGGCTCAGGCAATCCAATCACCTCAGCCTCCCAAAGGCATGGGATTACAGGCTGAGCCACCGAGCCCGGCTTACACTATTGTTTTCATGGAAAAGCAAACAATATTCCAACAACCCATTCTTTATTTGATCAATGTGCAGGCTGCAATGTGATCATATTCAACTTACTATGTCTTAATTAGGGTGATCTGACTGTCAGATCCTTCAAAAGGATGTACAGTATAATAAAAAATACATGAGTTTCACAGACAGACTTGGTTACAAATCCCAGGTCATTTAAATATGGATGTGGGTCCTAGAGGGTCCCTGAAAAGGGATGAAAACTTTTATTTCTCTGGAATTTTAAGAGGAAAACATCAGCCACAGGGCATGGTATATAGTAGGTACTTGAGAAATGTTACTCATTTTCCCCATCCCCAATTAAAAAACAAATACTGCTATTTAAAATAGCTTCTTTGACTTTGCTTATTCGATTTTTCAGTAAATGTGGGGATGCAGGATTACCACTCTTCTTTCCCTTCCCTTGAATGAATATACCAATACTGAGTACTTTTGGTTAGCAATAAGCAAATATCACTTACCTAAATTAGGCAGAGAAGTGGAAAATGCACTGTTGATTGATAAAAGACACAAGAGAGTTAAGGGAGAAAAAAGCCATGTTCAGGAAGATTAGCTAATCCATCTCAAATAACATATTGATGACTTTAGATTTCACTTCTTATCCTGGGCATCTCTGACTCCAAGTAAAAGGGTTTCTCAGTAAGATGACTAATGTCACAAGATATACACAAGATGTTATGGGAACACAGAGGCGAGACAGATAACCCAGGTTTGGGAAGACAGGTTCAGGAAAGGCATCCCAGAAGGCATACTATTTGACCAAACTTTGCGGGAAAATTAAAACTTTGATAACTACTGAAAATTGTGGGAGGGCAGGTGCATTCCACACCAAGGAAACAACTGTACAAAGCAAGGAAGCATGAGCTGCCATGGCAGAGGCTGAGATCTATAGGTTATGCTCATGGGGTGAGAGTAAATTTTAGTGAGAGACGGAGCTAGAAAAGTAGTATAGGGGCAGTCATGAAATAGTTACTTGCTATGAAAACGAACTGGAAACTTGTTCTAAAAGTCATATGGAGTCACTGGACAGTTTTAAGAAAAAGGAAAACAGATTTGCATCTTTAAAACATCAGTGTTCTCATCTGGATGAAACATTAAGGGACTATTGGTTATTATGCTAATTAATTTTCTCTCAGAAAACTTCTAACCTGCTACGGTCAGGGTCTGCCTTGTGCATAAGGTCTCTGACCACAGGAGGTAAACTCCTTCTTCCACAGTCAGGACTACAATTTGTAAATCCCATGTAGTCTTATGATAGATCTAGACCCTACAGGCAACTGGATTTAAAAATCACACAACTTTGAGGCTTTATATTTTAAAAAATCTCAGGGTAGAATAATGTAATTCCATCTCAACATAGGCAATTTTTTTGGGTAAATTATTTTGCTGTTCCCTGCCCTAACAAAATACAGATCTATATCTGTATACTTATATCAATGCTTCCTGACTTATAAGGGGTCAATTTAGGATTTTTTTACTACAGTGATTCAAAAGCAAACACATTCACCAGAAACCATACGCCAAATACCCATGCAACCATTCTATTTTCACTTTCAGTACAGTATTCGATAAATTACATGAGATATTCAGCACTTTATTATCAAATAGACTTTGTGTTAGATGATTTTACCCAACTACAGGCTGATTTAAGTGTTCTGAGCATGTTTAAGGTGGGCTAGGCTAAGCTATGATGCCAAGTAGGTTAGGTGTATTTAGCACGTTTTCAACTTAAGATATTTTCAGGTTACAATAGATTAATCAGGACTGAATACCAATGTAAGCTGAGGAGCAACTGTGTATCTGTATCCATATCTATATAAGCTCTATCTATCTGTTAGAGAGTGAAGTGTCTCTTCAGAGACTACCCAGTCCCCCTTCCATAGTATGCAAGATACGATTGGGACCCTATGGGTACAAAAAGGAAGTGATAATCTCATGGCTGCCTATTGAATAAATGGCAGAAATGGAACTAGAATCTGAAGTCCAGGTTTCCCCCCAACTTTTTTTTTAATGGTTGGTGAATTTGGAGCCTCCCAAAAGATTGGCAATTAGTCTAGGTTATCTCAAAGGGTCAATTCCAGGTCTAAGACTTTGAAATATACAAATCATTCAGTTATCTTCCCACTTAACACATCACTGCTCTCAAGGAAGACAAATTAATATGGAATTGTAAACAAATATAAACCACTGGAACTTGTGGGGCTCAAAAAACATAAAAGGGCATAACTAACGACATAATGCTTAGGGATAACATTAGGAATAGATGCCAAGAATGAGGAGGAAAGTATTACTTTAGGATTTTGCTTGGTTAAGACTTTCCCTCTATTCTTGCTTAGAACATTGTCTCCTCATTTTGTTTTGTTTTGTTTTTTTTTCCCCAAAAGATTCATGCTACTTGCTCATTAATGAGTATCTGTAGGTGCTAGATTTGCAAAGAGGAAATGTGATGATCAGGCCCTTGGTTTCAGTGTCTGATAGCCTCTTCACTGTTGCTGAGAATTAGATGGAGAACATCATCCTGTGTATCTACCAGGCTGGCGCTGCTAATCCCCTCATGGAAAGAGGGATAAAAAGGAACTTTTTACCTTATGTTTTCTTTTGACTTGGTTTTCTTCATTTTAAATATATTATTTTCTTTCTTGAAAAATTGCTGCAGTTTTTTCAGTGCTTCTTTTCCATCTAATCTAAGAGGAGTCAGAGGATATAAATAACATGGTGTTTGAGAGAACATTAGTGATGGAAGGACCAGAGACTTCAGTCTCATTTCCAAACACATCCCACTCAGGGAAGAGCAAGAACATACTTTTTCAAATTCTAAGCTTCTTTGTTTAAATTTGATATGACGTAGCACATACCAGTCCCAGTCAACTATGAAGGGAGTAATTATATTTCAATACAAATTTTCAGTGTTCCAAATAGTCTCTATTTTGCAAATTTATGAAGCAATGTCTTTCCTTTAGAAGAGAAAAAACAACTCAGTTTATGAACTACTAGAAATATATTAGAGAAATTCCTGGATCCTGAAATTCATATCACCGATTTGTAACTTACTAATAACGTAACAGGGGTGATATATTGATTGCCCAGTTGATGATTATGAATCTTTCAAAAATCCTTTTGGGTTTTTTAGGTGGCAATGGAGGACATGATACACCCACATCATCTCACCCAGCATGCCTAGCTCAGGTTTTCTCTTTCCCCTCTAACCCTTAAACCTTTTGCTTTTGATTATTGCTGTTTTCCTTTCCACAAAGTGTCCTTCATCACTGAACTTAATGAATAATGTTCACTTGAACAACCATTCTTCTTGATAACACAAAATTACTGGATATTAAAGTAAGCCCAAATCTCAGAAACTGCCTCATTAATTTGTAAAGACACAGGTCATTCACAACCATTGGTTTGTTTCTAAAGAAGCAACTACAGAATTGAAGCAAGTTTTATTGATATTTACTTCTCCTTTCTCATATATTTCCTAGCACAAAATCAAAATCTTCTACTCTGGGAAATGCATATTTCTAAAAAGAAGAAAGCAATGTGATTTAAAATGTATAGCATATGATTGTACACAGCTAAAAGTATCCTATGGATCAAAATGAAGTATTACAATAACTTATCACCACTCTGTGCAAATACTTCCTAAAGGATGACGGTGGGGGTAGGGAGGGTCATTTCTTAAACTATCATTTTACTAGACTAACAGGAAATATCATTAACCTACAAAGTCAAGAATGAGAGAAACTCACTCTATTTTGGGGTAGTTGCGCTTTGTTTTATAGACATCTTCATATATTTCATCACTATTTTTTTCTGAAATAAAAAAAACCCCTACTTTCATTCATTATAGTGGCAATAGTTCAGATTCACACTTAATAAAAATTATTAAAGACCTATTAGACGTTAAGTACCTTCAGCTTTCTTTTGTTAAGTGGTTTTCTTTGAAACTTATGCACGTTTTTAAAAGCATACAGTAAAAACACTTAAACCTCTATAAAAGTATGTATGAAAATTAAGACTTTTCTTCCACCCTGATTCCAAGTCTGACCTGATTTAGTCAAAGAAAGTTTGGTTCAATAGATTATTTCCTTCCACTCTTCCTCCTTCCTAATATTTAATACATAACCATCAGAGTCTTAAATATTAAGCATCACACATTGTGCTGAGTTCTGGGGAAACAATGGAAAACCAGATATATTTTGACTAATCTGTCTCTTCACAAAATGGTTTTAGCCTAGTCTAGCACGTAAGCTTACTATACACAGACATACTTTGATTCAATCCTGACGACAGACTCTAACAGAAAGAACACCGGAATAAGGGACAGAAACATTAGGCTCAAAACTTGACTTTGGGCTAGGCATGATGGTTTACACCTGTAACCCTAGCGCTTTGGGAGGCTGAGGCAGGAGAATCACTTGAGCCCAGGAGTTCGAAATCAGCTTGGGTGACATGGTGAATCCTGTCTCTAAACAACAACAACAACAACAACAAAAACCTCTATTCCAACACACAATGAGCTTATTATAGTCATTTAATATCTCTGTCTCAGTTTTTTTTTTAAATGAGGTTACTAACTTTAATTATCTTTAAAGTTATTTTGTTCTTCTTAGTATTCTAGACTTCTAAGAACAAAACCAACTGGAGCAAATTTGCTTATCCCTCCTCCATTACTTTTTCTTAAATTTATTTTATTCTTTTGTAACTGAGGAATAACATTTGTATATATTTATGATATATAATATGATGTTTTGATAATTGTATACAAAGCAGAATGACTAAATCCAGTTAAGTAGCATATCTGTTACCTTATACACTTTTTTTTTGTGGTGAGAACCTTTAAAATCTACTCTCTCAGCACCTTCTACGTATATAATACACTTGTTATGAACTATAACCACTATGTTGTACAACAGATCTCCTGAATGTATTCCTCCTGTCTGAAATTTTCTGTCCTTGGACCAACATTTCCCCATTACTTTTTCATTAATTAATTAATTCATTCAACAGGTATTTCTTGAGTATCTTGTATGTATCTGGCATTATGCTAGGAGCTGTGACAAGTGGTATGCATAAAGAAGGTAATACTTTAGGAGGGGAGACAGTTATTAAATCAAAGAATCACACAAATATAAAATTACAACTGTGACAAGTTGAAAAACAGCTCAGTGATACTGTGAGAATGTACACCAAGGAGAATACTCCCTGGGAGAATAATGATGGAGCTAAGATCAGATGATTGAGAGTCAGTTAAGCGAAGGCACCCAGGGAAGAAGAGCATTCTGGAAGAGGGAAGGGTGTAGCACAGGAAAAACACTCTGTGGTGGGAGCTCAGCACATTATATATATAAAATCCTCTGCCTCAGCCTCCCAAGTAGCCGGAAATACAGGCGCACGCTACCACGCCCAGCTAATTTTTTTGATTTATTGTAGAGACAAGGTCTCACTAAGTTACCCAGACTGAGAACCCGTGGGCTCAGGCAATCTGCTCGCCTCAGCCTCCCAAAGGGCTGGGATTACAGGCTGAGCCACTGAGCCCGGCCAACACATTATGTTAATAGAAGCGAAAAGAAGGTCAGCATGACTGAATCTCGGATGTGAAGACTGGGTACAGTGTGAGATGAGGCAGCAGAGCTAAGCAGGGCAGAACAGTCAAGGCCTCTAGATCATGCTGAAGTCAATCTTACAAGTACTGAGAAGCCATGAAAGTGTTTTAAGTGAAAACATTCCTATAATCAGACTTGCGAAAAGATCAAGAAAGAAGCAAATTCACAGTGAAGTTGCTTTCACCATAAGAATACTCTTACCAGCATCTTCATTTTCCCAATTCTAAATGCATTTATTAGCACATACTTTGGTATCACTTCTCTTAGCTAACCATCACTGCACCCAATTGGTATGATTAAAAATGCATATAAATAAAAGATACCTTCTCACCAATCAGTCATAGAAACACTCTGCAATTTCTACCGGCCATTTCAGAAATGTCTTCCTATACTTACCTCTATCTGAGGCAAATGAATTAGGGAAGTCCAACTTCCGTCTGTGGGAGAAAAGATACAAAGACCATTTCTGTACCTTTCAAAGTCTTGCCACATGTATCTTGCTCAAAGGCTGGAATGTACTTACACCTCTTTTCTGGGGTACTCAACATCATCATAATTCTCCTCTGAGATGCAACTTGGTTCTTGGGTTTCTTTAACTGTGTCTAAAGCTTTCACATACTCACCTGTAAGGAAAACAGAACATGCCCCCCCGAAGAACATCTCATCAGCTACTATCATGAATGCCTTCATACAATCACTGGCAATGGAGGTAAGAATAGGAAAGATCAATTAAATGAACTAAAACTGGATTATAACGGTGGTATGTATGATCCTCGCACAAGCCACGTTGCAGAGTCTCAGTTATGATTCTCTGAAGTTGGGAATAATGATCATAACAACGACTCTTATGTGATTGTGGCAAGGATGAAATACATATTTATGATTATGGTTTACCAAGTAAACCAGTAACTCCTTTTTTTCTTGATGGTTCTTCCTTTATTTCCTGACCTCAAATGTTGAAGGGTAGAGCCCTGGGGCTTTTCTCTCTACATCAAGGTAACTTTATTCTGTGGCATTTTATTCTTAAAGCAAAATATCTTAGACAAGTTAATTGAGCACATGCCAACATGCATCATTCATTAATGAGGGAATTAGTGAGGAGATAGTGTGCCAGTTGAAAACTGTATGGGGATTGTTTGCACTAGTAGCTAAATGTAGGTGCTGATTTACTTCACAGAGCTGTAAACTTGTCATAACTCTAAAATGGCCACCTCTTTGTCAGTTGGCATAGGTTAATATTTAGGATATGGATAATTCATAAACATGTTCAGACATGAATCAGAAATAGGAAGTAATATGTTTGAGAAATAAACAAGAAAATTAACTTGAATCTACTAATTAAATGAAACAGGAAACAAGATTTTATCTTCTCACAAGAAGTCAATTAGCATGTAGTCCCCAAGCCATCTCAGTGAATGTCAGATCCAAGAGGCATAAAGTACTTTTTTTTTTCCTCAAGGAGTTATCAGTAAATTTTTCCAAAACAAAACAAAGATGCTGAACAGACAGTTGTGAAATTCTTAGTTTGGGACTTATTTTTTTTCCTTCCCCTTTTCTCAATCTTTTTTGGCTGAGGCAAATGCAAAAGTTTATGACTTCATTTCAAAAACACTGACAACTCTCAAATTTACATCTCCAATTTAGACCTTTCTCATGAATTCCCGATACTCCATCAGCCTTCACACCCTTTCCATTTGGTTGTCTAAACATATTACATTCAAAACCAAACTCATAATTTATTTCTGCAAGTTTACTCCTCCTGAAGTCTATTCAATCTAAGTAAAAGGGACAATTTTGTTCTTTCTGTTTGTTGCTCGGGCCCAGAACCTTGGAGACTTTCTTGATTTGTTTCTCTCTCATATCTTACCTCCAATCCACAGCCATCTGTCAACTTCTATCAAATAATATGCTCAATCCAAACATATTTCAACAACTCTACCATGGTACCCTTCTCCAAACTACCATCATCTCTCACCTAAATTATTGCAATAAACTCCTAACAGGTTTCCCTGATTTATCCTAAATTCTATTTTTAAAACAGCAGCCCAAATGATTTTTTAAAATGTGAGTCAGATCACTGCCTTGGTGGGGTTTCAATTGTGTAATTGCTTTAAAGGATCTGTGAATTTTGTGCTTATGTGACTGTTTATGACGGTGAGTATTGTTATTTGTTTCCATGTTTAGAACTCCTTTGAGCATTTCTTGAGGGTTGGTTTAGAGGTGATGAATTCCCTTAGCATCTGTTTGGGAAAGACTTTCTCTCCTTTATTTATGAAACGTAGTTTTGCAGGATATAAAATTCTTGGCTGATACTTTTTTGTTTGTTTTCCTCCAAGGAAGCTAAAAATAGGCTTCTAATCTCTTCTGGTTTGTAGAGTTTCTGCTGAGAAGTCCATTGTTAGGCTGATGGGATTTTCTTTATAGATTATTTGATTAGACACCTCCTTGTGGCTCTTAGGATTTTTTTCCTTATTAATCTTTTCCTTGGATTGTCTGATGACTATATGCCTTGGTGAAGTTCTTCTTGCAATACATCTTCTAGAAGTTTTCTGACTTTCTTGCATCTAGATACCTAAATCTCTCCCAAGACCAAGGAAGTTTTCTTGAATTATTTCCTCGAATAACTTTTCCATTCTTTTCACTTTATCTTCTTCTCCCTCTGGAATGCCAGTACTTTGTAGGTTTGGGTGCTTTACATAATCTCATGTTTCTCAAGGCTATGTGAAAATTATTTTGTTTTTATTTTTGTCCGACTTAATTTGAAAAATCTGTCTTCTAGCTCTGAAATTCTTCCTTCCATTTGATCTAGCCTATTGTCTAAACTTTCAACTGTAATTGCATCAATTAATTTTTCATTTCCAGAAGTTCTTTGTATATGTGTGTGTGTTTTATGATGTCTATTTCTTCTTTCATAACCTGAATTATTTTACTGATTTCATTATACTGGTTTTCAGCTTTCTCTTTGATCTCATTCACTGGGCTTTTAAAAAATCAATATTTTGAATTCTTTATCTAATATGTCAAAGATTTCATTTGATTAAGGCCCATTGCTGGAGAGTTATTGTACCTCTTTGGGAATTTCTAACATTCTGTTTTTTCATACTTTTGGAGTTATTTCTCTGGTTCTTTTTTATCTAGATAAGCTCTCTCTCCTTCTTGTTTTTTGAACTTGCTTTCATTTGGATGAGATTGTTTCCCCCTTTGAGGAGGTATCCATCTGGTGTATTGTATAGAGTCCTTTGGCTTTGGTTCTGCATGCTTTTCTTGTACTCGTAAGCTTCTAGTGGCTTTTAAAATACCATTTATAGTAAATGCTAAAGTTCTTGCAATGGTCTACAAAAACCCCTTGTTATATCTCTGCTCACCTCCTACAATTCTCTTCTTCAGCCTCTCTGCTCTAGTCATACTAGCCTCCTTGATGTTCCACCAACATGTCTGGCAGGCTCCTGACTCAGGGCTTTTCTCCCCTCTTCCTAGGTCATTCTATCCCAGGCACACAAACGACTCTGATCCTCAACTACTTAAGATCTATGAGGTCAGCCATGAGTACATGAAAACTGTAATTTCTACCACCTCCATCTGCCTCTCTAATTATCTTTCATTGTCTTTTATTCATAATATTTACTACCATTCCACACTGTGGTTATTTTATTGTTCATACATTTATTGTCTGTCTGCTCTGATCAGAAAGTAACCTCCACGAGGACGAGAATTTTTGTCTGTTTTGGCTACTGCTATACCCTAGTACCTAGAACAGTGCTGGGCACATAAAAGGCACTGAAATATTTTAAAAATATTGAATAATTTGAGTGCATGCATCTTCTTTTAATTTATTTTTGTTTTAAAGATGTGGAGTACAATTCAGGATTAAGTATACAAGTGGTCATCATACAGGTAAAGTCTGGGCCTCCCTTTGGTCCCCACCTCGCCTGGTTTGAGATTAGTTACACTTATTGATTTTACGTGCCCCCCCTTCCCTCCCCTGGCAGTTTCCAGATACTGCCAATTCCTTTCTTGTAGTATTATGGCAAATGTTCAGGGTGCATTTATGAGTGAGAACATGTGGTACTCAGTTCTTTGTTCCTGTGATAAATCACTGAATATTATAGATTCTAAATCCATCCAAGTTGCTGTAAAGTCCGTAATTTTGTTCTTCTTTATGGCTTCATGATATTCCATCATGTATATGTATCACATTTTTAAAAATCCAGTTCAGTTTCAATGAGCAGCATGCTTGGTTCCATGTTTTTGCAATTGTAAATAGTGTTGCAATAAACAGAGCGTGCAGGTATCTTTTTTGTAGAGTGATTTAAGTTCCTCCAGGTATATTCCCAGAAGGGGGATTGCTCGGTCATATGGAAGATCAATGCCTAGTTCTTTTAGCAATTGCCACGCTGTTTTCCATAGAGGTTGAACTAGTCTGCCCTCCCATCAACAGCGTAGAAGCATTTCCTTTTCTACATCCCGACAGCCTGTTATTTTTTTTTGTTTTATTAATGATGGTCATTCTTACTGGAGTTAGGTGGTATCTCAGTGTGGTTCTGATGTGCATTTCTTTGATGATTGATTAGTGAGGCTGAGAATTTTTTCATGGGTTCGTTGGCTGCTGGTATGTCTTCTTTTGAGAAGTATCTATTCATGTCTTTTGTTCACTTTTTAATGGGGTTGGTTTTTTTCCTTTTGTCATGTATGAGTTCCTATTTTTTCCCATTCTGTGGGCTGTCTCCCTACTCTCTTGATAGTTTATTTTGCTTGAATGCATGTATCTTCTAACTAGTGCATTTGTTGTGTTATATTTACAGTGTTTACTGATATTTTAAACTTTATTATATCTACACTCTTATTACATATTTTTATTCAGTCCATTTAAAAAAACTTTACCTGAAGATCCTTCTCTTTTCTTCATTCTTTTTTTTTAATTCTGGATTTGTTTGGAAGAGATATGTGCTATGTCTGTCTTTTAATAGCTACCCACAATGGTAACCACTATTCTGACTTCTAATATCAGAGGTGCTCATTTTTAGACTTTATATTAGTAGAATCATTCAATATGTATTCTTCGATGTCACCTATTTTTATTCAATATCATTTGTGTGAGATTCATTCATATTGTTACAAATTGTTTTAAATTTTTACATTTCCATGATTTTATTTCATTGTGTCAGCATGCTAACATTGATTTATCTAGTCAATTTTTTTTTTTTTTTGAGTTGGAGTCTCACTCTGTCGCCCAGACTGGAATGCAGTGGTCGCTCCTGGCCACCGCAGTCTCTATCTGCTGGGCTCCGGCGCTCCTTCTGCCTCACCCTTCCAAGTAGCCAGAGTTACAGGCATGCGCTACCACGCCCGGCTGATTTTTTGATTTATTGTAGAGATGAGGTCTCACTGCCCAGGCGGGTCTCGAACCCGCAGGCTCAGGCAATCCACTCACTTCAGCCTCCCAAAGGCGCGGGATTACAGGTTGAGCCACCGAGTCCGGCTCTAGTCAATTTTTAATGCGCATTTGGACAGTTTGGGGCTATTATAAAAAGTTTTGCTATGAATATCTTGTATCTATATTTTGGTGAATTAAATTATACATGTATACTGGGTGTATACATAGGCCTGAGATTGCTAGACCATA